TATTTTTTTTAAAGATTTTATTTATTTGACAGAGAGAGACACAGCAAGAGAGGGAACACAAGCAGGGGGAGTGGGAGAGGGAAAAGCAGGCTTCCTGCTGAGCAGGGAGCCCAACACTGGGCTCGATCCCAGGACCCTGGGATCATGACCTGAGCCAAAGGCAGACGCTTAATGACTGAGCCACCCAGGTGCCCCTACCTTTCTTTTTTAAATTCTACTAGCTACTTTTGCATTTAAAAACACTTACGTAGGTTTTTTTTTTTAAGTCTTTATTTTAATCACCTGGTGCTCATCACGACAAGTGCACCCCTCAATCCCCCAAAATATGGAATGCTTCATGAATTTACATGTCATCTGTGCACGGAGGCCATGCTAATCTTCTCTGTATTGTTCCAATTTTAGTATATATGCTGACAAAGTGAGCAGTTACACAGGTATTTGTTATCACAAAACCATATATACCACCATATAATATATAATATATATACCACCTCTTCTTTATCCACTCATCAGTCAATGGACATTTGGGCTCTTTGCATAGTTTGGCTATTGTAGATAGTGCTGCTATAAACACTGGGGTGCATGTGCCTCTTCAAATCAGTATTTTTGTAACCTTTGAGTAAATACCTAGTAGTGCAATTGCTGGATCATAGGGTAGTTCTATTTTTAACTTTTTGAGGAACCTCCATACTGTTTTCCAGAGGGGCTGCACCAGCTTGCATTCCCACTAACAGTGTAAGAGGGTTCCCCTTTCTGTGCATCCTTGCAAACATCTGTTGCTTCCTGTGTTGTTGATTTTAGCCATTTTGACTGGTGTAAGGTGGTATCTCATCATAGTTTTGATTTTTGATTTGTATTTCCCTGGTGATGAGTGATATTGAGCATTTTTTCATGTGTCTGTCAGCCCATGTGGATGTCTTTTTTGGAAAAATGTCTATTCATGTCTTCTGCCCATTTCTTAGCTGGATTGTTTTTTGGGTGTTGAGTTTGGTAAGTTCTTTATGGATTTTGGATACTAACTCTTTATCAGATATGTCATTTGCAAATATCTTCTCCCATTCTGTAGGCTGCCTTTTAGTTTTGTTGTTTTCTTCACTGTGTAGAAAACTTTTATCTTGATGAAGTCCCAATAGTTCATTTTTGTTTTTGTTTCCCTTGTCTTTGGAGATGTATCTAGCAAGAAGTTGCAACGGCCGAGGTCAAAAGGGTTGTTGCCTATGTTCTTCTCTAGGATTTTGATGGTTTCCTGTCTCACATTTAAGTCTTTCAACCATTTTGAATTTATAAAATATAGATTTTTAAAAACATTTACAATACTTTATAGACATATTATTCACATTTACTTCCTATATTTAATTGATTGCCACACTCACCATTAGGACTTCTACCACATACTTCTACCTTAAAAAGTTTTTGTTTTGATTAATCTCTCAGTTATCCATAATATTTCTATCAAGTGAATTTTTTCAGAACAGGTGGAATTTTCAGAGCCCATATGTAAATGAAAATTGTATCCGTGACTTTCACACAATAGAATTACTGACTACACACATCCTTTTCCGGCTCAGTATATCTTGTTACTCTGTGACACACACTCAGAAGCCTGATTTTCTACCTTTGTGAGCAATCTTCTCTATTTCTTCCTGAAAATCTGCATTATCTTTAAAATTCAAAATATCATCCAGATATTGGACAATTTTTGTTAATTTTCCTTTGACAGCACCAGGACCTTTTTATCTGAAGATCAACATTTTTCTTCAGCTCGAGGAAATTTTATTCTCTCTAAATAATACTTTTCTTCCCTTTGTCCTGGAATCTTCTTTTATACATGCCAACAATCGACATGTTGGGTGCTCATCCTCATCTGTTTTCCTGAGGTAGTAGTAACAGAGAGACTCAAGAACAAAAAGTCAGAGATCCACGTTTGTTTCAAGGCAACAGTATGTGCAAAGATCCTGAGGTGGGAAAGAACTTTGAGTAATCAAGGAACAGAAAGAAGACCCTTCTGATGGGAGTGTAGAAGGAGAAGGGTATATGAAATCAGAGAGAAAGGTGAGGCCTTGGAGGCCACAGTAAATTCAGTTTTTAAGTGTGAAGAAAAGCCACTGAAGGGTTTTAATGAAGGCAGTGACAGGACATGGCTTACATTTCAATGTCAAGAGCACTTTTCCAGTTCAATAGGAGAGAATTCATCATGAGGTTAAGAATGAAGATGGAGAGACTAGCTCTTACATTGGTTACAGGGCTGTTAAAGAGTTGGCTAGGTAAGACAGAACTATGCTCAACTAAGGTGATGGCAGTGCAGAGGACAGAAGATGGGAAATTCAAGATAATTGTGGGCAACAGAATCAACAGTACTTGCTAGTCACCTGAATATAAAGGAAAAGGAGGAATCGAGAATGACTGATATTTTTAGCTTAAATAACTCGTAGATTTCTGATATAGGGAAGACTGTGCTGAGGGAACCTGCTTAAAAGGGAAAATTATAGGTTAGGAAACAAGCTTAACTGTTTTAACAAAGAGACCCCAAAATGTAGTGGCTTCTATTTTCTTTCACATAACATTCAAGAGGTGAGCAGCCCAAGTCTGGCAGGCAGTTATGTCCTGACACCTGGCTTCTGTCTCAGGGTCCCAGGGAGCTGCTCCAGTTGTCACAATGTTCAGCCATTGAGAAGGGAAAAGAGAAAGTGGAGAGCAAGCAGTTTTCTTTTTAAAGGATGTGACCTGGAAGTTGCTTACCTCACCCAAGGACAGAAGAGGGTCTCAGAACAGGTACTGAGAGGCTCTAAGAGCTAAAGGTCAGTTGGAGGAGAAGTTAGAGAGAGGACGAGTGGTTAAAGAGGAGGAAGGAGGAGTGGAACACTGCCAACAGTTGCAGAGAAGTTAAAAACAAAACAGAGGTTTGAGAAGAGACAGTAAATAACTACATATGCCCAAATGTGAGGGCTCCCCCACCCCAAAATCCCTCGGAAGAGAAGTCCTCTTATATCTGAGCCCTTTTTGTCTCCCACAGTATAGGGCACTCTTATTTTTAATTTTTTTTTAAAAGATTTTATTTATTTATTTGACAGAGAGAGAAAGAGAACACAAGTAGGCAGAGTGGCAGGCAGAGGGAGAGGGAGAAGCAGGCTCTCCACTGAGCAGGGAGCCGGACACGGGGCTCGATCCCAGGACTCCAGGATCATGACCTGAGCCGAAGGTAGCCGCTTAACCAACTGAGCCACCCAGGCGCCCCGGGCACTCTTATTTTTATTAACAAAGAACTGTGAGGACGAGACATGTTAACCTGAAATGCTGATGCCTGCCCAGTTTTGGATTCTCGTGAAAGTCATTCAAAGGAATCAGCAAAAGAAGGTAGGTAATGGAAATGAATACTGACTTTGTATTTATTCCTGAGTTTGTAACTTTGGTTTCAAGAGACTGTAGAATATCATAGAAAATGAGTTTTCCTGGCTCTGTGGTAGATGAGATGGCATGGAGTAGGGATGCCAGCATGGGCAGGAAGGGATCTAAAAGGAGGAGGAGTAGGGACACGTGATCAGCTTCCTGCTTCTGCATCTGAGGCCTAGGTGGCTTGAATACATGAGGTAAGAAAGAGCATATGATAAATGCCACAAACTCTCGCAAGCTGGGCTCTAAAACACTCTTTTTTGGCTCATGAGGATGGCCCTATTATTTTGTGTTGGGGCCTTAGGGTATCACGACAGGTAGGAAGTCATGGGACAGCCTTCCAAAAGGAATTCTTGGAAGGAGACAAGGTTTCATTCAGATGAGAAAGAGACAAAAATACATCGTTACGAAGAAAACTACGTCACATTACTTTGTCACGTCTCCTAAAATCACCCACTGAATTACGTAACTCCAGCAAAAAGGGTGCAGGGCTAGGAGGGTTGGGAAAGGCGGTACCATGCAGTTTTTGACTCTCTCCCAGACACCTAAGTGAGCCTGGAACACCCCCCTACCAACAGAAAGAGTCCTCACAGCCTGTGCTGGCCTCATTGCCTCGTGTGGGATGTGTTTCCCTGTCTCAGACTCAATGTTGTCCTCCTTTGCTCTGCGTAAGCACGTGTGTCATAGGACCCTGGCCAGTCCCACGACTGTATCTGCCCATTGCAGGAGAAGATGGGGTCCTTCTGTAGCACAAGAGGGGTGTTTGCAGGCCAAATGCCTTCTTTCAGCTGCAGAGGGAATACCTGCGGGCCGTGGGGGCCTGACATGAACTACTGGAGTGGATTCTGCTCTGCCTCTTCTCTATGTGAATACAGCATTATTTCATCCAATGCTTGGCTGTGCTGTGCTTTACTTGGTGACTATGATACCAAGGCGCAGTGGGCAGAGTTGTTACCATTTCTGCTTTTGGTGGTAGATAACAGATGTCACCTGCTTGACAAAGCATCAGGTTCTACTTAGTTATGGCGCTAACAAGCTGTGTGAATCTGTTTCTCAGTTTTCTAACTGGCAAAAGAAAGGTGTTCAGTGAGTTCTCTTCCAGCTATAACATTCTGTTTTCTCTGAGAATGAAAGAGTATTATGCCCAAAGCCAAAAATCAGTAAGGAGAACTTCTGTAGGTCCAGAAGCCAGAGGGAATGCTAACAGTATATGGTTCTCAAAATTTACATATTGGAACCATTCACTGAAGAAAACAGATTTTACTTTAGATCAGAGTTTCTTAACCTTGACCAGATAATTATTGTGGAGAGCTGTCCTATTCATTGTAGGCTATTTAACCACATCCCTGGCCTCTCCCTACTAGGTGGCAGAAGCATCTCACTCTCACAACCAAAAATGTTTCCAGACACTGCCAAATGTCTCCTGAGGGGCAAAAGTGCCCTGAGTGGAGAACCACTAATCTAGATGTATTCCTCTAGCCAAGATCAAGTAATACACATATACCTTATTCATCAATACCTCTATTTTACAGGTAGGAAAACTAAGACACTTCATGAAAAATAAAATTTCATTGTATGATGCATAATATCGTCAAGGATCTGAAACAGAATTGATGTCTTAGTCATTTCCCATCTTTAATCAAAACCGTATTCCTCTTAAGAGAGAACATGAAAAAATTACCCATATTAAAAATATTGAAAATAAGCATCATTAATAAAATGCTACTGAATGATGACTAGTTCTACAGATCTTTAATCTCTTTGTATTCATTAGCTACTGCTCCAGAGTAAAAATAATTATGGCTTCTGTGATGGCTTCATATTTCTTTAAAATAGGTTTCCCATTTGGTAAACCTAATAACTAAGGCCATTTGGTAGTACACAGAATTGAAGGTTAATCATCAAGCTAAAGACATACAAGAAAATAATGACGCTGTCACTTGAAGGTCGGCTCAGTGTACTGTCCCCTGTGTAATCAGACACCCTTCAACTAATTCCAGCAGCAAATCTAAGGGGGTCATGGATCCATCTCCTAAACACATCAAGGGAAGTGCTAATATACCGGACATCTTATTTAAACTTCTGATAATAAAATGATACAGAAGCGGAAACCCTTGTGAAAGGTTTTTTCCTCAATCTGGGAGCAAGATCATTAGCACTTTATTGATACTTGTGGAATACTGTAAGGTTTGAAGAATGAAATAAGCAAGGAAGTGCTCCAATGCACTTGAAACGTGAAAGACTGTACTATAACTTCTGAGGGGGTCCTTACGCTCCAAGCAAGTCTCGTCAACCCTCAGTATTCCACAGGAAAACTTCAAGCAGTCAACCAAGTACAAATAAGCAGTACTCTACAAATGGCTCTTACTTATCACATAGGTCTTAGGATAAACCTGCTTATACTTCGAATGGATAGTCACGTGGAGATTATACACATGGTGGCTGTGTAACACTAGTCGGTGAAATGTCTTGCCTTCCTTCATGATTTCTTCAGTCTTTTTTTCAGAGGACATAACATTTTCTAAAAATTCTGAATCTTCTAAGTACAGCTCATCTCCTGAAAAATATTTTGATTACACAGTGTTATTTTATAAAACATTCCAATACGTTAGTGACATACACATTGGTATTTATTTTCATCTATGTTGTGTTCGGAACTGAAATAGGTGTTAAGTAACTCTAATTTTATGAGCTTACCTAAATTTCTTTCTTGTGTTTTTAATACCCACATCCCCCACCCCCCCATTCCCCAGCCAAGAATTTTCTTTGGGCACATAAATATTTATGACTGGTATTTTTTCATCACGACCTATCAGTTTTAGACTGGCCCATGACTCGCTTTTTCCTAGTCAATATTAATATTGGCCTTGATATCCATATATTTTTGGGTTTCAATGTGGGCTGTTCTAACAATTTTAAGGTTAAATTACAGAAATTACCTTTACACATCAAAAGCACTAAACTATCCCACTGTAAGATGAGGAACAAATATCATTGCTATTCTGAGAACTGAGCCAAGGAGCCAGGAGACAGGTCACAAAGCCCTGCTCTAAACTGCCATAAAAACCCCCGCCTGGCACTTGCCCAACAATCGACTACCAACAAACTCCCCAATTCAAATAAATTGACAATTGCTCACAAATCCAGTTCTTAATAAAGTGTACTTGAAGACAGAAGTTCTCAACTTCATAGTTTATTCTCATGATTCAAAATTAAAATGTAAAAAAGTGAGATAATAAATGTAAAAAATGTAAAAAAGTGTCAATGTCTGGGAAACACATAAATGTATGTGTGTGTGTATAAGGTGAATTATCAGAACTTTTGGTTATAATAAACACTATGGATATTTTATAGAATTAGACCTTAATAAACTGCTGTATTGTGTAACACAGATGATAATTCATGTCTCTGTGTTGGGCAATACTGCCATACAGCCCCGTGCATTGAGTGTGAATACTAAATGTGAAAAAGCACTGATGCTTCACTGACTTACCTGGTAAAAGCTGGAGCACTGCATCAGCAGTTAAAAATGTGATCGGCAGCCATCTTTCCATTCCTTCCGATGCACCGTCCAAACAAAATTTGTGCAAGTCAGAGAGAGAGGCAAAGTTTCCCAGTCTTCTTATTTCATAGAATTGTGGAGGTGCAAACCAAATTTCCTTTGATATGAAACTCTCAGTTGCCTCTGATGGAGACAACCACTGTGGAAGACAAAGGTCAGGGTTCCTAAGGTTTATTCCAGAGGCAATCAGAGATTTGATATTGTTAGGTTGGTACCCAAATCTAATTGAAATGAAAAATACATAGGATAGTATTTACAGCAGGCTAGATGCTACATATGAGAGAGAGAACTTGAAAACGTAGCAATAGAATCTATCCAAAATAAAGCACCAGAGAGAAAAATATTAAAAAAAAAAAAAAAGAACAAGGTATCAGTGACATTATCAAGTAGTCCAACATAAATGTGTAATTGGAGTCCCAGAAAATAGGGAAAAGTGAAAAAATCTGAATAAATAACAAAAAGAAAACCATGCACATCATAATCAAATTGATGAACACCAATGCTTAAGAGGAAATATTTAGAGTAGCCACACACACCAAAAAAACCAAACCAAAGCAAAACATATTACATACAGAGGAACAGAGTTAAAAGCAGACTTCTCATCATAAATTACACAAGGCAGAATATACCAAAGCAACATCTTTAAGTACTGACAGAAAAAAACTGTTAACCTGTAATTCTATACCCAGCCAAAATACCTTTCAAAAAAAAAAAAAAAAAAGAAGGCAAAATAAAGTATTTTTCAGATAAACAAAATTTACAAGATTCCTTGTCAGAAGATCTGCAATACAAGACCTATTAGAGGAAGTTCTTCAGGCCAAAAAAAACCATTTGTAGATTTTAATCTACACAAAGGAATGAAGAGTGCTAATGATGTTAAATATGCAGGTAAACATAAAAGACATTTTTTGCTCATTTTCACAGTCTTTCAAAGATTGTTTAAGGCAAAATAATCAGTATATTGTAGAGTTCATAATAACAATAAAAGTCAAATGTATGACAACAAAAGCTAACAGACATGGGGGGAGAAATATAAGTATATCGTTGTAAGGTTCTAACATGATACATGAAATGAAACCTATATATGGCAAACCCTAGCATAATCACAAAGAGATACAGTTAATAAGTCAATAATGGAGATAAAACAAGGTTCTTAAAAAATACTTAAATAATCCAAAAGGAGTCAGGAAAAGAAAAACAGTGCGAAGAATAGATGGGACAAATGAAAAAACTAAAAGCAAGATGGTAGATTTGAATTAAATACAAATACTTAAATATATAAACATATATAAATGACCTAAACACCCCAACTAAAAGGTAGAAATTGTCATATTGATTAAAAAAAAAAAAGCAAGACCATATGCTGCCTACAAGAAACATACTTTTTTCTTAAGGTTTTATTTATTTATTTGAGAGAGAATGAGATAGAGAGAGCATGAGAGGGGGGAGGGTCAGAGGGAGAAGCAGACTCCCTGCAGAGCAGGGAGCCCGATGCGTGACTCGATCCAGGGACTCCAGGATCATGACCTGAGCCGAAGGCAGTCGCTTAACCAACTGAGCCACCCCGGTGCCCTACAAGAAACATACTTTAAATATAAAGTATTTATATTTAAATATATTATTTATATTATAAATAATATAAATTATAAAGGAAGACTGCTTCTCCCTCTCCCACTCCCCCTGCTTGTGTTCCCTCTCTTGCTGTCTCTCTCTGTGAAATAATAAATAAAATCTTAAAAAAAAAAACAAAACACAAGTCTCAATAAATTTAAGACTGAAACCACATAAAGTATGTTCTCGAGGACATAATTAAACTGCTGTGGACATGAAATGAGTTAATGCAGGTAAAGCGCTCAGGAAGGAGCCTGGCATCTGAGCAGCACTGCACAACTCCTGGTATCTCCCTCGGGGCCCTCTCCCACGGGAGAGGCAGAGTAAGGCCTTGGGACTATGAAGCTGAGGAGAGCAGGGAGCACTTCACCAAGGTCCTGGCTTTGGCCTGTAGGGCTGAGGGCGGGACTTCCTCAGTGCCATGCCCACTCTGTCACTTATTAGGTCTATGGCTCTGAGGAAGCTACACCGACTGGACTTTGGTTCAATTTACAATTTCGCAAACTTGGGATGCTCCAAAAGCCATATGCATTCCGTGGAAACGTTACTTTTGAATTCTGATCTTTCCCCCGCCAGCTAGCTACTCACTTACTACTGGTAATGCTGGCCCAGGAGCAATGAGCAAGCTCGCAATCAGGCATGACATCCTGAAGGTGAACAAAGGATAGACTTACACCCACTCTGTACCATACAGCCATTCTGTTGCTCACTTCCAGTATTCAATAAATTGCATAAGATAGTTAATCCTTCGTTATAAAATAGACTGTGTTAGGTGATTTTGCCCAGAGGCTAATGTAAGTGTTCTGAGCACGTTTGAGGTCGGCCAGGCTAAGCCACGATGTTAGGTAGGATCGAGCCCCGCATCGGGCTCCCTGCTCAGCGGGAAGCCTGCTTCTCCCTCTCCCCCTCCCCCTGCTCGTGCTCTCTTTTACTCTCTCTCAAATAAATAAAAATCTTTTTTAAAAATTGCAAGAACAGGGGCGCCTGGGTGGCTCAGTCGTTAAGCGTCTGCCTTCGGCTCAGGTCATGATCTCAGGGTCCTGGGATCGAGCCCCGCATCCGGCTCCCTGCTCAGCGGGAAGCCTGCTTCTCCCTCTCCCCCTCCCCCTGCTCGTGCTCTCTTTTACTCTCTCTCTCAAATAAATAAAAATCTTTTTTAAAAATTGCAAGAACAGGGGCGCCTGGGTGGCTCAGTCGTTAAGCGTCTGCCTTCGGCTCAGGTCATGGTCCCAGGGTCCTGGGATCGAGCCCCGCATCGGGCTCCCTGCTCAGCGGGAAGCCTGCTTCTCCCTCTCCCACTCCCCCTGCTTGTGTTCCCTCTCTCGCTGTGTCTCTCTGTAAAATAATAAATAAAATCTTTAGAAAAAAACAAGTCTCAATAAATTTAAGACTGAAACCACATAAAGTATGTTCTCGAGGACATAATTAAACTTCGGTCCACCAGCTGTAGACCCAGGACAGCGGGAAGAACACCTGTCATCAGCCTCTCTATGCTGGGCTTATTCCAGATGGGCCTTGGCTGCTGGCCGGGGCCCTCATTCTCAAGTTCCGGCGCGTCCCCGCTGCGGCCCAGCACGCCCTACCTGGCAGCTCACCACCTCGGTCAAGTCTGGGTAGACCCGCGGCGGCTCGCTCAGGCCGCACAAGAAGAAGGCTGTATCGAAGCGGCGGCCGCCGCGGCGCTTAAACGGCGTGAGCCAGCCGCCCCAGTCGTGCAGCGCCCAGATGTCGGGCGTGCAGTCGAGGTGCGCACACAGGCTCAGGAAGTGGCGCGGGTCGCGGCGGACGCGGTCGCGCCAGGCGTCCAGGCCCCGCGGCGGCGCGAGGGCCCGGCCCAGCTCGGGCACGGCGGGCAGGGCGGCCCGGGGCCGCAGCAGCAGCACGCCCGCCTCCTCGAAGGTCTCGCGGATGGCGCAGATGCGGGCGGCGACGTCATCCGGCAGCGCCGCGGCGTCCTCGGCGGCGGCGCCGGCGGCGGCGGGCAGCCCTGGGAAAGAGGCAGGCCGCGACCGTGCGGCGCCCAGGCCGAAGAGCGGCGGCTGGTGGTGCGGCGCGAAGAGGCGCAACCAGTCTGCCGAGCAGTCTGCCGTGTTCTGCACGCCCCCCGGGAAGACGTGCGCCCCGGGCAAGAAGCCTTGGTTCTCGGAGCGCTGCAGCAGCAGCAGCCGGAAGCCCTCGGGGGGCAGCGACGGGGCGGCGGGGCTCGGGCGCGCCCAGCCGGCCGCCAGTAGGATGGTGGCTGCCCGCCGCCAGCTGCTGGCGCGCGGCTGCAGGGAGGAGTTCATGGCGGGCGGGCGGGCGGCGGGAGGCTTCCGGGCTCCGGGTTGCGGCGCGGCGGGAGCTCCTGCGCACCGATTCTGTCGCCCCCGGCGGTCGTCCTGGGCTTGGGGACCCAGGCCCGCGCCTTATAGGACGACCTTGAGGCGTGGCGCGCGCACTGGGCGCCGATGAATTTGGGCAGTTCGGCCTCCCCCCGCGCCTGCCTGTGGGAGGGGCGTGGCGCGGAGGCGAACCAGCACCTCCTCTCGTGCCTTAGTTCCCAGGCGGGTCATTCGTAGGACTAAGGCTGTCACTGCCCCCTGCGAGGGATTGTCGTTCAAGCCGCCTGAAAGGAGGGCCCCATCGTCCGCCCCCGGGACACTCGGACGGAGAGCAGGAATGACCGGTCTTGGTGAAAATGCGATGGAGTTATTTCACCAGGCGTGGTGACACCTACCCCACCAAACCCCGGAGAACTAAGACTTAATCCCTGCACCACACGGCTAGACACCAACGTGTATAACTTTGGCAGAGAAGGAGGTCCAAAGGGTAGGTCTCTGAGCTTTGCCGGCTCACCTGACACCACCAATGAGGAACTGATGGATGAACCAGATGCCAAATTATGAGTTTCCCACTGCACAGCCTGAATGCGAAAGGCCCTCCTTGCGTCCCTGCTCCTCAGGGTGATCTGTGTTGTGTTCTGGACACCTTTTATTGTCAGGGCACCTGGGACCACCTTAAGCATCTGAGGTCGTTTGATGATTTCCACTTTCATGGGAGATGCTTAACCCAGGCCTAGAGATGGGAATTTCTCTCTGCTTCACTTTCTTAGTGGCTGTAATACTCCCACTTCCAAGAGATGCACTACTATCTCTTAGAGCCTGTTTAAATCAGAATCTTCTCATTTACAACTCCTCTTCAGTTGCCAACAGCTTCTCCCACAATAGCTATTATGACATTTGTTATGTATTTGGATGAAATATACTGTTCTTTTGGTGGGCCTCATTTAAGAGTTACCATTTTTATGTCATTTATTTCCTGGGGGAGAATCCACAGATGACACTGCCAGTTTTCGGGCTGGTTTTTGTTAGCAGCATTTTCTAAAGGTGCAAATCCCAGTATTGACTGTGTTCCAGAAACAAACAAAAAACGGGTCCACATACTGAGAAAAGCACATACGGAGGCCAAGGGAGGACACATGGCCTACTGGAGGATCTACCAGCTTTCATCTACCTTGAGTCCACAGAATCCACAGTTGGGGAACCCCTTCCTGAGCTGCTTCCCAGATTCATGTGGCTTTCTGCTCTGAGACCCATCATTTCAGAATCTATTACAGAGTCTGGAGTGGCACCCTGGAGCCTGTATTTTCACACTCCCTGACTTCCAGTGCTATGAGTCATGGGAAGCTGTAAAAGGAGGTGATATGATCGAGTCCATATCTTCAAAGGTCACCCTATCAGCAGCATGGTGACTTGATTGGGTGACCCATGGACTGTGCTAGGCAAGAAATAATGAAGGCCTAAACTAGGAGAGTGACCATGGAGAGAGGGTGAGGTGGGAGAAGGGAATGATTTACACAGAGTATTTAGGAGGTAGACTTGATGTAATGTGGTAATTGGTTGAATATGCAGAGCAAGAGACAGGAGTTAAGTTCTAGCTTGGAAGATTGAAATAATGGTTATTCAAGCCTAGAAGTTGTAATAATAATGATATTATTAAGCATTTACTGTGTGTGAGGCTTTTGGAACTTTGTAAGTATTAGCTGTATAATCCTCACAAAACCACATCAGGTGGAAATAGTTTTTGCCATTTCACAGAAGAGAAGCTATTGACAGAGTGGTTAAGTCTCTTAAGGGACACACTATTCACTGTAAAATAACACCATCACTTTGTAGATTAAAAAACAAATGTTTATATTTTGATATCAGCTACTTTTCCCAAAGGCTGGTCACTCCTGAGTGAGATGACCAGGTTCTAGAGTGCGTAGCAAAGTGGTATACTTTGGTTGGATCTTAACGAATGCAGAACAGTCTCGAGAACTGCACACGGCTATGTTAGTCCTAGTAGGCTCTGTGGTTATGTGATACCAGTTTATGTATGTATCCACAGATCACATCCTGTAACCTCAGTTATCTGAACTGTAGTTAAGAACAAGAACAGAAGCAAAGAATAGACTCTGGAGTAGCAAAAGGGATACAAATATATTCAAATCTAATGTGATCTGCTCAGAGGAAAAATTAATTTGCAGATATATTAATCTATTGCAATTAACAAATTCCTCTGAAACTTGGTGGCTTACAATGATGAACATTACCTCACAGTTTCTGTGGCTCAAGAGTTCGAGAACATCTTAGCGGGGTGGTTCTCATTCAGTATCTCCCATGACGTTGTGGTCAGCCTATCAGCTGGGGCTTGCTTGGGCCTGAGAGATCCAGTTCCACAATGGCCCACTTGTATGGCTGTTGGCCAGAGGCCTCAGTTCCTCACCACACTGGCCTCTCCACAGAGCCACTTGAATGTCTTTGAGACTGGGCATTTACTTTCCCCAGAGAGAGTGACCCATGAGAGAGGAAGAAGCCACAATGCATCTTATGACTTAGCCTGAGAAGTCACCTGCCATTTCCACAGTATCCTATTTTTACACTGGTCTCTATTCAATGTGGACACACACTACACCAAAATACCAGGATGTGAGGGGATCATCGGGGGTCATCTTGGAGGCTGTAGTAACAGTGGATAAAAAAAATGAATCCATGCAAGCATTAGAAGAAAACAGGTAAATTCCTCTTTGACTCAAACTTCAGAAGCAATAGGGGAAAAAAGATTGGTCAACTGGACATTCTCTCCATATTTATAACTTAATCATGACAAAAAACAGCCTAAGAAAGTCTAAGACGGGCGCGTGGGTGGCTCAGTCGATAAGCCTTCGGCTCAGGTCGTGATCCCAGGGCCTGGGATCGAGCCCCGCGTCGGGCTCCCTGCTCTGTGGGAAGCCTGCTTCTCCCTCTCCAACTCCCCCTGCTTGTATTCCCTCTCTCGCTCTCTCTGTGTGTCAAATAAAATCTAAAAAAAAAAAAAAAAAGTCTAAGACATAATAAACTGGGAAAATTATCTGTAATGCCTGTCACAAAGGATCAAGCCTCCAATTGTGTAGAAAAATGGGCAAGAAAGAGGTCAGAGTGATTTATTTAAGGTCACAGCCAGCAAGTGTCGGGAACTCTCCAAACCGATTGGCATATTCTCAGAGTTCCCTGCGCAGGCCTGTCCTGCCAGGGGCACAGTGCAAATAACAGTAAGTGTGCCCAGTGATCCCCTAGTAGCACTGGCCGTTAATGCGCCACTTGGTCATGAGAGAGTGAGTCACTTTGTTTGACCCAGTTGCGTCATAGCTAAGGACAGTTGACTCTTCATTCTTATGTTCTACCGGTCCCGCCCAGCTTTACTTACAATTTTAAAAGTCCTTATTTGTTAGAACATGTGAAGCCTTGAAAATAAAAAACTTTCCCCACGTGTCCTGTTGCTTCTCACCTATAGCTCCATACAGTCTTTTAGTTCAGTCTCAAGTTCAGCAAGCCCAAATTCATTTCTGTTATCCATTATTAGACTTTTCAGTTAAAATGGAAAGAAAGGAAGAGAACGTGATCTGCGGGGGTAGCCACACAGAGAGAACTTCAGCTTGAACGCTCAACAGTAGCAGAAAACCTGTTCAGCCTTCCTAGAAGCCAAGGCATGTCAGTCACCTGGGTTAAACAAAATCCACCTGTGATTGACCAGTAACATCCTGTGTGCCACGAATCACCATATAAAAATTATGTTTCAAAATGTTTTTTTGGTTTTTTTTTAAAAGATTTTATTTATTTATTGGACAGAGAGATAGAAGAGCACAAGCAGAGGGAGTGGCAGAGGGAGAGGGAGAAGCAGGCTCTGCACTGAGCAGGGAACCTGATGCGGGACTCGATCCCAGGACCCTGAGATCATGACCGGAGCCAAACGCAGACGCCTAACCATCTGAGCCACCCAGGCGCCCTCAAAATGTTTTTTAAGAAGGGTTTTAGGAGCGCCTGGGTGGCTCAGTTGGTTGAGTGACTGCCTTCGGCTCAGGTTATGATCCCGGAGTTGTAGGATCCAGTCCCACGTCGGGGCTCTCTGCTCAGTGGGGAGCCTGCTTCTCCCTCTGACCCTCCCCGCCTCTTGTGCTCTCTCTCTTTCGCTCTCTCTCTCAAATAAGTAAGATCTTTAAAATAAAATAACATTAAAAAAAGAAGGGTTTTAAAAAGTTTCACAGCATTGTTTTCTCAAGTATGTATAGATTGCATTTATGGGACATTCTGGAAAAGGCAAAACTATAGGAACAGAAATGAGGTCAGTGGTTGCCAGAGGCTGGGGGTGGGGGGAAGGAAAGCACATTGGGAGGGGGATGAAAATGTGGTCCTGCTTGCGGTGGTCATTACATGATTGCATACCTTTGTCAAAACTCAAAACTGCTCACCCGAGAAGGGCAAATGTTACTCTATTTAACTTAAACCTCAATAAGTTTGGCTTTAAAAATGCATAGATTCCAACTTCCAGATAAGCCATCTGTACTTGATCTTTGTATTACCTTGTCATTTTGACAAGTGTATCTAATTTTGACCTTCAAATTGATTTTTAGCAGATTTTACGTAGTTAATGGGGTAAATGTTTTCATATAGTTTCTTTTCCCCAATTATCTGATTTTGAGACTTCTAAAGTACTTTGATAAATAACAATAGCAGTGGCAGCCAACATTTATTGAGCCCTGGCCCAGAAAAAGTTTTATTTCGATATCCTGATGAAGTATACCTGATTATTACTCCCATTGCAAAGATAAGGACATTGAGGTCAGAGACATTGAAGAACTTAATGAGATCAGATCTGAACTCAGGTGTACCTTATTCCATAGTTAGTGCTCTTAACCTCAAGGCTATAGTGTCTTGATACTACATTTCAAAACTTCTGGGGCGCCTGGGTGGCTCAGTCGGTTAAGCGACTGCCTTCGGTCAGGTCATGATCCCGGGGTCCTGGGATCGAGTCCCGCGTCGCGCTCCCCGCTCTGCAGGGAGCCTGCTTCTCCCTCTCCCACTCCCCCTGCTTGTGTTCCCTCTCTCGCTGTGTCTGTCAAATAAATAATAAAAAATAAAATCTTAAAAACAAACAAACAAACAAACTTCTGATTCCGTGGGGTAGGATTCCAAAACTGTTTTGCTTTGCTTTTAGGGGAGAAGGTTCTGGAATTGTTTCTCATTATACCTTGAGACCCTCAGTGTTAAAATTTATATTATAATAACAGTAATACTTCCTAGATGATAAAAGCATTCAAAATTTTATTATAAAAACAATATAACACCATTCATAATCCCACCACCTTCACAGATATTTTCATTTCTGTATATTTCCTTGTACATCTCTATATGCCTAACACATCCATACAGGCAGGGGACACTCAACTTCGCTTTCTGGCAAGAGCATATTAAAAGGACTCTTCAAAATCATTTTGCCAATGGGAGCTGTCATTTGGCTTGTTTACCTTTGTCATATAAGTCTAAGGTTATAAACAGCAACAAACAAGGATGCCCAAGATCTCATAGTACTGCGATGAAAACACCCAGAATCCTCTGTGGAATGAGGTGAAAATAAGTAAATGAAAGGCGGGGGGGAATGCTTTTCGCGAAATCCATCTTGTCTCCGAGGACACAGGGCTGCAGCATGTGGTCAGTTCCTGTACTTCTGGTCAGTTCTTAAGAGCCAAAGAAATAGTATTTGAATATGACTTTGATCTGTGTGGACCACAGCCAAAGATTGTTCATGTGGAGACCTACTGTTCTTCCCAATTCCGTCCTGCATTACAAGATGAGTATAATCATACTGTACAGAAGCACTTGGAGATTTATAATCCTGGAGTACTTCTGAGCATCTCTTTATGTAATGAAGTCTGTGAAGGGTAACAATGTTGATCAGGACCTTCACTTCACTTCAGGTGGGCATAAAGAATATTGAGAATATATATATATAGGCGCTTCCGGACCAGGTCGGGCAGAGGTATCCAGAAGATGCATCTGATATAAAGGACATGTCCAAATTCAAACCTCACATTCTGCTGTCCCAAGAGAATACACAGATTAGAGACTTGCAGCAGGAAAACAGAGAGCTATGGGTTTCCTTGGAGGAACTCCAGGATGCTTTGGAACTCATCATGAGCAAGTACCGGAAGCAGATGTTACAATTAATGGTTTCTAAAAAGGCCGTGGATGCTGAACCAGTCCTGAAAGCTCACCAGTCTCACCCTGCAGAAATTGAGAGTCAGACTGATAGAATCTGTGAAATGGGAGAAGTGATGAGGAAAGCAGTTCAGGTGGATGATGACCAATTTTGTAAAATTCAGGAAAAACTAGCCCAATTAGAGCTTGAAAATAAGGAACTTCGAGAATTATTGTCCACCAGCAGTGAGTCTCTTCAGGTCAGGAAGGAAAACTCAATGGCCACTGCTTCCCAAGCCATCAAATAACTCAACTTCTGAATGATGGTGGGAGATTGTTTATCAAGGAAGGAAGTTATTATCTTTCGAGTATTGTCCATTTAGTGTTTTGCCTCAGACTTGATTTAGTGTTGATTAAAGGTATCAGGTGGCAGTTTAAAAAAAAAAATATATATATATATCACAAGAGTTGATAGCTGAATTATTTGAGGGTGTCTTTTCCAGCCAAGTTATAAATGCTGCATGTTAACTTTGATTTTTTTATTTAATAAACAGTTTCAGGTAAACAGTTGACATGAAGCCTTTAATTCCACTTTGGATCTGATGCCATATACAAAACCCCCCACACTGTGCTCATGTTTCCTGACATCAGGCAGCCAATGCAGTCATAGTTCTGAGGGCTCCAGGTTACTTACAAAATAGGATTTTCCCAGTCTCCAGGATAAATGACAGAGTTTCACATCTGTAATTTCCCAGAATCAGTTTAGGTGGCCCGATTGCTGGGTAAAACCGACTATTTAATCAATAGTAGTCTTTCTCGGACTCAGATCTACAGTCTGAATTTAAATTCCTAATCTAATTTAAATACTATAAATAAGTAGCATTTATACAAATTTGCTTTTAAGTCCATCCACTAATTCTTTTTTTTTTTTTTTAAGATTTTACCCATTTATTTGAGAGAGAGAATGAGAGACAGAGAGCACGAGAGGGAAGAGGGTCCAAGGGAGAAGCAGACCCCCTGCTGAGCAGGGAGCCAGATGTGGGACTCGTTCCCGGGACTCCAGGATCATGACCTGAGCCGAAGGCAGTGGCTTAACCAACTGAGCCACCCAGGCATCCCATCCACTAATTCTGGTATGGACTAAAATCATAGTAAGCTCAGTTCATTCTGATTTTTTTTAACTTTATATGGAATTTTAGATAATAACCACCAAACTGTAACATTTCATTTCCATATGTACCCAAACTAACAGTAACAACCAAAAACCCCCAAACTGGAATAATCCTTTCTCGTTTAACTGCATTCTGTTAAATGTTTTAAACTCTGGAAGGGACCTTTGAGTCCATCGGTCAGGGCTCCCCCCATTTCACCATGGAGGGAACCCAGGCACAGGGAGGTCAATGACTTCTCTGAGGTACTTGGAAAAAGAGGCAGAGGCCCTGTCCATCATAGCTGATCTGGCCTTGAGGGAGGAGGCATTCCCCAAAGGAAGACAGAGGAGAGTCTCAAGTTCTTTACTTCTCAGGCTGACATACAGGCTCTCATGTCAGGGCTCACACCCTTAACAAGCATTCATTACAGAAGGAAGAGCTATATCTGAAAAGCAACAGAGTAGCTAAAAATGTATCAATGTGCAGGTTGAAACAGAAGATGCAGCACCATCAGGATCCTCAGGCAAACCAAAACGCTCTTTAACCAAAACTACTTGTCATTTGACATTACACATGTCTTATGTAGTTTACTGTAAACCTTAAGTAAATCACGCAGGTTATGCTCTAATTTTCCTTACCAAAAATCTTTCCCTTGCAGCATTTAAAAGCATTAAGTTCTTTGAGCACACAAAAAATGAATTTGTCAGGCATTTTTTTTCTCTTCTACAAACATCAGTGTTTTGGTTTTTTCCACTACTAGCAATAGTTTAAAGTTTCCGTAAGTGCTTTGACATTCCAATTGCTTGTCTTCTCCAAATCAGATAAAACAGTACTGTTTTTCCCAGAAGAGAAGTCAGGGATATTTTCTCTTTACAGGTACGTATCATAGCATTTAACTTTGGATATAAAGATCTATCCTTTAAGTTGTATCTTTAATTTGGGAAATTAGATGGGTTTTTTTGCCATGGACTCTAACGTTGACCTCATCATATATACCCTATGTTAAACATTTTGAATTTTTTCTCTATACTTGTATCATGGTATAAAATCATACCAAGTGTTTTTAGAAAACTAATGACTTTGATATCAAACACCTATATAGAATCAGGCTTCTATCAGAAAGCAATGTCTTTAATTATATACATAGAAATGAGAGCAGACATAGTGACAGCAGCTTATTGCTCAAGCAGAAAGTGATTCTGCGTGCACCACATAGCGAAAGTTCTAGTAGGCAATGTTAGAATTCCAAATAGTACCGAATATTCCTAATGCTTAAAACTTTCAAACACAGAGTTGTTCAGGTTAACAGGTCCACAGGATAAATATGTTCATTGTAATTCAGCTTTTTTTTGTGTGTGTGGGTGCAACATTTTATACCTAATTTCGGTGAGCAGAGGACTCTTGGAATTAGGTACACATCTGATTGCACATATAATTAAATACCCAAGGATTTGCCAACTGGGTGGAAAGGGTGACAAGACATTTGTCCCAAGTGCTCTCTATGGATTACACAACATTGGATGGGTTTTTTCTTCAGTAGGTTCTGCTGAACAACTTTTTGTCATCGTTCTGAACCAAAACAACTTGATAAGAACAGAAGAGTCACTGTATTGGAAACAGGAGAATATATTTAGGGTGTGCTATTAAAGGTTAGTTGCCAACATTGGGTCACAAAATGCCCAGCCTCCTCTTGTCTGGGAGAGCTGAGATTTTGGGGAAGGGAGTTAGGAAAATTTTGTGTCATCTGTGAAGTTACCCTGAGCGCATACAAAAGAATTTGAGTGGCCCCTATTCAGATGAGGCCGGAGGTGTTTCTTTTATTAGTTAAGATCATAAAACTTCTAATCGGCTTAAGACCCTGTGGGTGTTTTAAAACCATTATCTCTCTCTCTCTCTCTCACACACACACACACACACACACAGATCCATTTTCACTATGAGGTACTGGAATCTGTGTGCTGAGGAGGAGGGGGAGGAAGCTGGGCTGGAAATGTGGCCCTCAGGGCTGAAGCCAAGGCTGCACTCCTGCTACCTGCCCCTACCCCGTGGCCCTCCAAGCTGCCTTTGTGAAACTGTCCTTTCCCTCCTCCTAGTCCTCTTTCCCACTTTCAGGGTAAAAAAGAAAAAAAAAAAATCCTTGTCAGTTTTCAGCCAAAGTCTCTGGGTTTTATTCCTAATTACCTTTTGAGAGTTAAATGTATGTGTTTTCTCAGTCTTATTTCCCCAACTATGTTCTCTCTGCACTACAGGTGGCAAGTGGTGGCTCTGCTCAGCCTGGGACCCAGGGGTTTCCACCTTATTTATTTACTGAGCAAAAGAAGTAGGGGTCATTCAACCTCTGTTATGTACACCGTGGTTCCAGTAGTTTATGCTACGACCTCCTGCCTTCAAGGTCTATTTTAATATTAGATGTATATTTATTAACTAAAGGTTGTAAGTAAAGACCACTGTGTTTGACTCATTGGCACGTATGATTTTGTGGCCAAATGTCCTCTATAAAAAACTGGCTTTGATAGGGCATCATATGGTTATATGGTTTTTCTTTCTCAATGATCTTGTTTTTAAAACGCTGCTGAAATTTCCGAGTGGAAGCTGTTGCCTTCTAACCCAGTCTCAGGGCTAATCAGCTCCAACAGCGTGGGCAGTGAGGTTTACCCTCTCAGGGGTCAGTGTGAGGGTCAGAGAGCTGGGTAGCTTCCTCCAAAGCCAGCTCTCCTGCTGCCAGCAGGCAGATTCCAAGGGATAGATAGGATTAAGGGCTCCAAAGAGGATTCTGCAGCCCTCCCCCAAGGGAGGATAAAAAACTCTGGTCTAATTCTGGAACAAAAATAAGCCCCGGCAAAGGAGAAAGTGCCTGTTTGAATAGCATATGTCCATTCCCAAAGCTTGTGCGCCTTCCAGGCTTACCCAGGGGACCCCTTTTCAACAGGCAAGTGGGTGCAGTGGATCCAAACCCGTGAGGGCGGGTTCGACGTGTCTTCTCTGGTTTCCTAAGTAGGGTCAGCACTTGTGGGGGAGGTTACCAAACCCCAAACCCAAACCTCTTCTAGCTGCTTTTCGAAACTAATGGATAAACCCTGCCAAGAAGCTCAATGGTGCGCCATGGTGAAAGCACTTTGCACAGACTTCTCTTTGCACACTGTCCTAAGTTTAGGCCCCAAAGGATTAAGGTAATAAAACCTGCTTACATCTTCTTACAGTATTGTCCAGGAAACAAAATCACCACCCACACAGAGCAAAACAACTCCCCTCCCCCGACTTCACTTCACCTCATCCCCCTTTCAAACTGCCCCACGCGGAGAGTGGGGATCGCTGGTAGGGTTGGGGGCACCAAACTGAGAATCCGTGTAAACATACCCCAGCAGCACACGTGGTCACCCATTAACTCGGGGGAATCTGGGGTCACTGTGGACGGTTTTCTATTAATAGGGGATAAAGCTGCTGTATATATTAGCGGTAATGCCCTGGCTGCCCGCGCAAAATTAACTCCTCCCGGGCCAGCAAGAGGAAACCATGTACACACACACACACACACACACACGGTTTTAGAACCCCTTCCCTTAAACGTGCCAGATCCCACTCCCATCCCGAGTCCAGGCGATTGCCGTCGTTCCCGAGGGATGTCTCCGGGGAGGGAGGGGTAGTGGCAGGAAAAGTCGTGTGCCGGTCAGCTCAGCTTCGCCACGCAGACGGCCAGGGCCACAGCCGCCAGCAGCACGGCGCTGAAAACGGTGGCGGCCAGGGCCTTGCTCGGGTCGCAGGGCCCCGTGCGCTCCTGGACGGACACCGCGCCCACCGAGGAGGCGCTGGCGCTGGCCTGGAGCTCGGCGCCCGCCGTTTGCCGGGCCTGCACCGTCCAGCGGGGCACGTTGACCTTCATCTCCATGTCGTGGATCATCTCGCTCACCTGAAGGATCTCGCGCTCCAGCTCGCGCTGGTCGTCCACGTCGAAGTCGCCCTCCGCCTCGTGCCGCAAGCTGCGGGCGCTCAGGGCGCGCGCCGCTACGCCCGCCGCGGCGCCCGCCACACCGGTGCGCACCAGCGGCCGCCGCGGCGCGTGCAGCGGGAACGCGGTGCCCAGGGCCAGTGCGCGCCGCATGTCGGCTTCCAGCAGGTCCAGGCAGCCGGAGAAGGCCACCCAGAGGCGCTCGAACTCGGCGCGCTCCTCGGCGCCCAGGCCCCGGTCGCGCAGCGCGGCCGTCAGCTGGGCGCGGGTGGCTACCGCCAGCTCCTGCGCCTTCTGGCGCGTCTTCTGCAGCTCCTCACGCAGGTTCTGCGAGTCCGCCGAGCCGCCGACGGTCAGCACCAGGTGGTGGTAGCATGCGGTCGCCTTGTTGAGAGCGTCCAGCAGTGCCTTGCACTCCTCCCTCGCCATGGCTGTGCGCTTCTGCGCCGCCCGGCCGCCCGCGCCCCTCTCCGGTCCACGCCCTCAGCGCGGCAGGACGCTGTCAGCCCCGACGGCGGCCCGGGGCCGGGCGGCCCGCGCGCTCCTCATGGCCCGACACTAGCTCGGTGCTGCCGCTGTTGTCGACGGAGCCTCTGGAGACCTGCGACGTGCACCTCTGCGGACCGGACGCAGAGAGGGAGCCCCGTTAGCTATCTCCCATTCCCTCGTCCATCCTCCCTCGATTCGCTCGGAGTCACACGCCGAGTCGCTGCACCGCCCTCGCCTGCAAGGTGGCTCTCTGCGAAGCCTGGGTTGTGGTCCCCATCCTTCTCAGGTGCCGTTGCCTGGGATAGCCGGCCGCCGAGCCGCGCGCTCCGCCTTAGCCGCTGCTGAGGGCTGCTGGGTCGGGTTTCTTAGGATCCGCCCACCCCCGCCCGTCCTCGGAGCGCACTTCCATCCCTTAGACCAGGGATGGGCGGGGCCCCGCGCGGGGAGATCACGTGTAGGTCCCCCATCTCCCCCTGCTCCTCTCCCCATTACCGTTCTGGAATACTAGCGCTTGGCAGTTCCAACCCTCCGGTATCGTGAAGATGGGGAAACTGAGGCCCAGGTAAAAAAAAGGGGGGGCCTAGGTCACGCGACGTCCATGCAAGTGAGGGAATCAGAACCCAGGGACCCTAACTCCCAGACCCTGCCAGCGACGGAGTGGTGTGCCTTATAGGACTGGGCACCTCCGTCCTCCAAACCTAGCAGTAAAGGGCGATTCGCAGGGCGGGACAGCTCCCGGGTCTCCCCATCCGGATCCAGCCGGCTTTCCAGGGACCAAGCTTGGACCCCACCTCTAGTGTCAGATCAGCTTCGGCCCGCCCCCTCCCGTTCCGGGCACGCGCAGTCTGCGACTCAGGGCTGGTCCGGCCTGAGTAGGAAGCGCTGTGCGCCGCCTGAGCCCCACCCCGGCTGGGAGGACTCGATGATTGCTCTGCGCACACGTCACTCTGGATAAGGACGGCCGCTCATTGGGCTGACCAGGTGCGGCTCCGCCCAACGGCGGAGTAAAGAGGTGGGCGGTGGAGCAGAACCGCTGTGCTGGGGTGGTGGGCACCGAGGTGAGAGTCCCGGGCCCAGGAGGCGTCGCCATGGCTCCGAAGAGGACATGGAGTGAAACTATGTAGCCTTTTAAGTAAGTGTCCTCGCTCCTGTGTCATCCCGTGCCTCCCTTCCCTCAGGACGGCTGCGCCTCGGGGCCTAGAGGCCGGGCGGGGCCCCGGAGCTGGAAGGGGGAGGGGCTCTTTCCTCTTCGCGGCTAGCGCCCCGCGGCGCCCCCAGGCAGGGCTGGCTGCCCCTGGGCGGCACCCCAAGACCCGAGCTCCTCGCTGGCTGGACCGCCCCGCCCGCGCTCTGCGGGTCCCGTCGGCAGCTGGGCTCTCTCTGCCCCTGGAGTGCGGGGTGGCGAAGAATGCGCCCTCTGACCCCCGCGACTACAGGACGGGTCAGCGGGTGCGGGGTCCTGGGAGCTCGAACTTGGGGGCAGTGGGCGGGGCAGTCGTTCAAGAGCTGAGTGACCTCCGCGGTTTGCGGACCGCCTGGCGGGGCCGCTGGAGGGGGAGGATGTGGGTGGGGGTCCGGAGCCTGGGGCCTTGTGGTCCCCGGGGGTGGTGAAGGCGCAGGGGAGGGAGGAGGGAATCCCTGCCTGCCAGCCTCTTGAGGGGCCGGGGCTCTTCGTTCTGCTGGGTAAAAATTACTCCAGGAAAACTTAGGCACCAAGAGATGTTCCGGACTCTGGGTCTGTTCAGTTCTTTTCGTTGAACATAGACTGCCCAAGGCGCGCGAGCTGGGCATGGCCCCTGCAGATGTTGGGGACTGGGGCATTAGCAGCCGGTGCGGGGCCACGGAGCAAACGACGCGTCTTCATTGAGGGTTTAGGACATTCAGGGAAGGAGGGGCTGGTGAGACTGGAGGGTCTACTGGTTTGCATGCGAGCTGGGGTTTTCCAAGTTTATGGGTTTCATGGGGAGAGGCCCTTATTTTGATTAACTCACCCTCCCACCAGCCCCAGAGAAGAGCAGGGGATCTTAGTGGGATATTAGCGTTTTGAGTCCACCTTCCCCAGCATGGTATTGAGGCGGTTCAGAAGATCCAGAGCCCTGGGCCCCAGGGCTCCCTCTCACTCTGCGCTCTGTCCTTTAATCTATAGATTTGGGGCCATTTGTGGCCAGGACTTGGACGCTCCTGGCCTTGGCCATTCTCCATGGTGGAGGGTCTTAGCCACCCAGTGACCAGATGGGGGCCTTGACAGGGAAAGAGAAGTTTTCAAGACAAAATAGATAGAAGGAGGGAGAACCCATCACATTGGGGAGCTTTAGGGACAGCAGAGGGATACGAAGCTACAGAGATGGGTGGTAGGCCAGAATGAGAGGCCCTTAATGCCAGGAAGAGAAATTGAGAGTTCATTTAGTAGGGAGTAGAGGGGAAGTCCTGGAAGAATGTAGTAGCCCCCCCCCCCCCCCCCCCCCCCGCCTTTAGTCCATGGGGAATGTGTTCCAAGACCCCCAGTGGATGCTGGAAACCTCGGATAGTACCAAACCCTATACTCCATTTTTTTTTCCTATACCTACATACCTATGATAAGTTCAATATGTAAAGTAGGCACAGTAAGAAATTAATAAAAATAACTAACAAAATAGAATAATTATTAACAATATACCGTGATGAAAGTTATGTAAACGTGGTGTCTCTCTCTCTCTCTCTCTCTCAAAATATCTTGTGCTGTATTCACCCTTGTTGTGATGATGTGAGGTGATTAAATGCCTCGGTGATGAGATGAAGTGAGAGGAACGATATAGGTACTGAGTGTAATGTTAGCTGCTACTGACTTCCTGACCATATGTCAGAAGGCGGATGTTCTGTTTCCAGACCCCGGTTGACCACGGAAAAGTGAAACTGGAAAGCAAAACTGAGGATACTGAGGATAAGGGGGACTCCTGCCCCATAGTAGACCTCAGTGTTGGAAAGATTGCTTTGCCATCTTTCCTGTGGACCAGTCTGAGTAAGATCAGGAGGGCAGAGGCCTCTGAAGGAGAAGTGCAGGATGGGAGCAAGGACAGATGCTTGTGTCTAGCCTCAGTGGCAGGAAAGCAGTTGAGGCTCTGAAGTTGAGCAGATCCCTTGGGTGAGCTCTCCTCGCTCTGGCTTGCCACCAGAAATCATCCTGCCTGGCAGCTTCACTGGCAGAGCAAACAGTACTGTCTGCATAGGGCCTGGGGGTCAAGGGCTTGATTGCGTTTCCTTGTGGCTCTTGGACTGTGTTGGGCTCACGAGCGTAATTCCTGGGTCTTTGTTATTCACACATCTGCACTGTTAGTGTTTCTGTGGGTCTCTCCCTTTGTTTATGAATTGCCAGGATTAGGTTGGTGTCCCGTAACTCAATCCTCTACTAGAGGAGCAGAGGAACGTGACCATGTGAGGATAGATCTAGAAAGGATTCAGACCCAAATCCAGGGGTGGTGGTGCTCCTCCAAACTCTCCTGCTCCCTTAGTGGTCACACCCCTCTTCCAGCTCTGAGGCCTTCCCTCCCTGTGTGACTCTCCACATTCCAGCTGTCATAGCCAGCTCTGAGTTTATAGTTTGTTTCCGGCTTTCTGCTGGTGCCTGCATGGCTGCCTGGGGCCAGCCCCTCACCCTCCCCTGGATATGGGCAGTGGATTTCCAGCTTCTGTGAGAGATGACCCCTCCCTGGGAGCTTGAGCTTCCTCTCACCCCACTATCATCTTGTTCTAGTGGACGAACAGTTACAGCATGCCTACCATGAGCCACGTGGCCAGGCACAGACTGGACACTTTGAAGAAGAGCTTTGAGAAAAATATGGATAGGATCCATAAATGGCACAGGCCAGGAGGACATAAATGACTGTAATATCATACATTACATCATCCAGTTGCTTCCATTTGCTATTAAACAGATGAATTAGAGGGCGCCTGGGTGGCTCAGTTGGTTAAGCGACTGCCTTCGGCTCAGGTCATGATCCTGGAGTCCCTGGATCGAGTCCCGCATCGGGCTCCCTGCTCAGCAGGGAGTCTGCTTCTCCCTCTGACCCTCCTCCCTCTCATGCTCTCTGTCTCTCATTCTCTCTGTCTCAAATAAATAAATAAAATCTTTAAAAAAAACCAAAAAAAACACAAACAAAAAAACAGATGAATTAGAAAGTTTTCCCTTTTTGCCTTTCCCTTCTGCATCGCAAATTAAACTGGTTGGAGAATAATGCTCATCCTTTGGAAAATATGCCTGGTGTGGGTCTTTGGTGAGCGCCCTCACCAAAGAGTGAGAACAGCCATAGCAGTGAGATTTCAGCTGGGGGTTTATCTCTGGGAGGCACAGACGTTCCTATGCTGGATTCTGCTGAGCCAGGCTGCACACTGTCACCAGATGGGGACACCTGACCACCCAGCCTCATGGGACGGTTGTAGACCACAAAACCACAGTGCGCACACCACCCCATGAAATGTCCGGTACTAGTTTGAGATCATGCCTGGCTCTCCTGTTCATAGAGTTAACCTCAGATAACTCGTGTTCAGGGGGTATTTGGTATCTCTGACTAATTTCCCTGGATTTGCTGTAAATCATCCAACCATTTGAGCTTAGGCAGAGGTGGAATTTTTTTTAAAAGGAGTTTTAGAAGAGGATTTACTCCTCTTTCCAGTTTTATAAGGAACAGTTTACTTTTCATGATATAAAACGAATTCTTGCAAGTAAAACTTGTGAGGGCGTTAACCTGTGTTAAGTATTTACCCCCTATTTAAGAATTCCATTCTGGCATTAGGCACCTGATTGTTTTGGATTCTTATATGTTTTAAGCACCAGGACAAAAAGTTTGAGAAGAACATTGGACAGTGCTCTTCGAATCCCTACTCCTGGACAGAGGGTTCAGTCATTGGCAACCAAAAGGAATGATGTCCAAGAGAAAACAAGATGACTTGGGGCTGAAACCCAGCAAGCTCTGTCCCATTCACCAGCAGTGCTTGCTCCGAGTCTTGTGTGTTTCATGCATTTGAACTGAATGTTTTGATGTGGCATTCAGGGGCCTCCCCTCACCCTGCTGTCCCTCTCTGACCAGCACTGTTTGGATTCCTATTATTTCCCTGGACTCATCTTCTAATCAATTAAAAAAATTTTTTTATTCTTGGGTTTTCTGTGCCCACAGGAACCTGTTCCTGCTTCCTCTGCTCCCTACCCCAGCCTCCTTCCCTGCTGCTCCCTTCTCTGGTCCTTACCTGTCTCAGCACTGCTCTGGGTTGGTTTTACTCTGCAGATGCACATTCCTTGCCTACCAGCTAGGTTGTTACTTCCTGCATCAGAGCCCGTCCTTGTCACCTCTATCTTGGGTGTAGAGGGGTTGGAGCTCTGCCGGCATCTCGTCTGAGGAGCAGAAGGAGGGCCCCTTCCCAGCTTCATTCTGACCGTATGGCATCCTGGCTCTCATGGGGTTTCTGTCCAAGGTGTCTTTACTTTTGTACTTGCTCATGTAGAACCGATTGTGTCAGAAACCAGAAACAATTTTGTTTTCTTGTGACTCTGTCCCAGCAAAATCACATTATCCAGTTGTTCTGGTTAGGGCCTCATAAAAGGATTATTTGGGCTGCAGTAGTAATTGAATTCAACAAGTCAAATACCTGAATTGTTGTAGAGCTGTCTCTGGGGTCCAGGAAGAGATTATATGTAGCCTTTTTCATGCTAGGCTCTTCCCCTAAGAGGCCTTGCAGGGACCTCAAGGGCCTCCTTGAGGCAGTCCCCAGGAGGGCCTGCAGCAGAGACAGTTCTGGCTGGACCAGACTGAGGAAATTCAGTGTAGGGCCCATGTGGCTGTCATGGTG